TAATTTGACTTTGACATTTGAAATTGGGGTTAAGAGTTTGGATTGTAATCGTGGTATTTTACTTTTTATGCGACCATCTTTTATCTTGAAATTTTATTTGTTTTTTAATGTTTTATTTGTTTATAATATTTTTTATGAATCTTTGGCTGGTGGTGAAGATGAATTGATGTTGAAACAATGATTTTTTCTAACGAACACCAACTATTTGATAAATTTCCTATAATACCCCTAGATACAAAAATTGCTTTTGAATCATTTCAACAAACTGATTAATCCAACAATACATTGTTTGTTTATAAATTTTGGTTTTAGTAAGGGGAAAAAGCAGAATTTGAATTGCATACTATTTGATAAGCATGATCACACCATGATTTTTTTGGTAATTTCTTTGAGATTCAGGGTTACATGGGTTTTAATGGGTTCATAAAGAGAATTGCGTTTTGAATCATCTCCACCACCATCACCACCACCACCTACCTGCACCACCTGCCACCACCACCTACCACCGCCACTACTACCGCCACACCCACCACCACTTGTCACCGCTACCACCATCGCCACCACCACCACTATCACCATCGACACCACCACTGTTACCGCTACCGCCACCACCACAACTACCATCGCCACCACCACCGCTGCCATAACTACCGCCACCACCATCTCCACCATCATCGCCACCACCACCACCTACCGCCATCACCATAACTACCGTCTCCACCACCACCACTTCCATAACTACCGCCACCACCACCTACAACCACCACCACTAACCATCACCACATACAACCACCACCACTACAACTACCGTCACCACCACTACTACATGGGTATTAACAAACACCATAATCACCTGCCGTCACTGCCACTACCCACCACCACCACCTGTCACCACTACCACCATCGTCACCACCACTACTACCACCATCCCCACCATCACCGCCGCCACCACAACTACAGTCTCCACCACAAACCACCACCACTTACGACATTCACCACCACCAACCACTGTCATCGCAACCACCTACCTCCACCACAAACACCAACCATTACTACCACCAACACCACTTGCAACCACCACCTACCATCGCCGCCACCACTGCCACTACCACCCCACCCGTCACCTGCCACCACTAACTATTGGATTGCTAAAGATAATGAAGATATACACCAAAAGCTAATGACCTGCGACTTTAGGGCATATGAGATTATGAACTACAACTTAAGGCTAATGACTTATTATTTATCGGTCATTTGGGATTGTGCCTTTATGCTTATTTTACATTTGTTTAAAAGGATTTTATTATTTTTACAAATAGTTTTTGTATTTATGATTATTAACAAACACCACTACATAAGGCCAAAGAGGAGTATAGATATATGGGTATTAACAAACACCACAATCACCTGCCGTCACTGCCACCACCAACCGCCACCACTTGTCACTGTTACCACCATCGCCACCACTATTGTTACCACCACCGCCGCCACCACAACTACAGTCTCCACCACCAACCACTACTACCGCCACCACCACCTACCACCTCCACCACCACCTACTACTACCATCACTACCACCTACCTCCACCACCACTACCACAAACACCAACCATTACTACTACCACCACCACCTGCAACCACCATCTACCATTACCACCACCACCTACCATCGCCACCACCACCTACCACTGTCATCGCTACCACCTACATCCACCACCACCACCAAAAACACCATCCATTACTACCACCACCACCACCTGCAACCACTACCTACCATCGCCACCACCACTGCCACTACCACCCCTACCCGTCACCTGCCACCACCATCGTTACCACTACCGCTGCCACCACAACTACAGTCTCCATTACCAACCACCACCACCACCACCTACCAATGTCGTCGCCACCGCCTACCTCCACCACCACAAACACCAACCATTACTACCACCACTTGCAACCACCACCTACCATCGCCGCCACCACTGCCACTACCACCCCACCCGTCACCTGCCACCACTAACTATTGGATTACTAAAGATAATGAAGATATACAACGAAAGCTAATGACCTACGACTTTAGGGCGTTTGAGATTATGAACTACAACTTAAGGCTAATGACTTATTATTTATCAGTCATTTGGGATTGTGCCTTTATGCTTATTTTACATTTGTTTAAAAGGATTTTATTATTTTTACAAATAGTTTTTGTATTTATTATTATTAACAAACACCACTACATAAGGCCAAAGAGGAGTATAGATATATGGGTATTAACAAACACCACAATCACCTGCCGTCACTGCCACCACCAACCGCCACCACTTGTCACTGTTACCACCATCGCCACCACCATCGTTACCACCACCGCCGCCACCACAACTACAGTCTCCACCACCAACCACTACCACCGCCACCACCACCTACCACCTCCACCACCACCTACTACTACCATCACTACCACCTACCTCCACCACCACTACCACAAACACCAACCATTACTACTACCACCACCACTTGCAACCACCACCTACCATCGCCACCACCACCTACCACAGTCATCGCTACCACCTACATCCACCACCACCACCAAAAACACCATCCATTACTACCACCACCACCACCTGCAACCACTACCTACCATCGCCACCACCACTGCCACTACCACCCCTACCCATCACCTGCCACCACCATCGTTACCACTACTGCCGCCACCACAACTACAGTCTCCACTACCAACCACCACCACCACCACCTACCAATGTCGTCGCCACCGCCTACCTCCACCACCACAAACACCAACCATTACTACCACCACTTGCAACCACCACCTACCATCGCCACCGCCACTACCACCCCCACCCATCACCTGCCACCGCCACCTATCAGATTACTATAGATAATCAACATATCCACTGACAGCTAATGACCTGTAACTTTAGGGCATATGAGATTATGACCTACAACTTACGACTGAGGACTTATTATTTTGTCGGCCATTTGGGGATTATGGCTTTATGCTTATACTTTTGCAAAAACCGAAATTTTTCGATACGGTGCGGTTTTTATATATTCATGAACCGCAAAAACCGAATCGAACCTTACTATTATATTATATATTAAATAAATTATATATTTATATTTTATATGTAATAATAGCTATATATACTTAGACTAATTAAATAATGAATATAATATTTATCTTTACAAAAAAAATAAACAAAAAGAAAAAATAGTTAATATTTTTTTAATTTAATTTGTCAAAAAAATGTTGCAACACAATATGCACGTGAAGTTTGAGATTTTCTTTCACATTTTACAAGGACCAAAATGTAATTTTTATTTAATTTGGTAAATGCCAATGTTGATACAGCTTCAATCGTTTGACGAGATACGATGAAATCTAGGATCAATTACAAACTAAGAGGGTGTTTGGCTAATCTTTTCAAGGGGCAAAAGGACTTTTAGGAAAAGTCACAAAAAGTTAGGAATTCCTGATTTTTCCAAAAAGTCAGTTTTTCTTATATCAAATTCCCAAAAGTTGTTTTTCAAATACTTTTACCAAACATCTTTTCCCCTTATCTTTTTCTAAAAGTTCTTTTTATCCCTCAAAAAGATAAGCCAAACACCCCCTAATATCAAAACGCTTTTTCGCCTCCAAAATCGTTTTAGGGTTCAGAAATGATCACAAGAAAATTTCAAGAATGTGTTTACTCTAAAAAATCAAGGCGGGAAGTCTTCATCTTTCTCACCGCCAAAACCATATCAAATCGATTTGAGAAAGGTAATGTCGAGATATTAGGTATCATCCTTGAAATTAGGAACATATTAATTTCATCTCTATAAAGAGGATTGATTTATTCAATAATTTTTATCGTCTTCTTCATTGTGAAAGAAAATCAGCTTACTACAGGTGTTCTTCTACCTAAATCGTTCTTTATTCAGTTGTAAGTCTCTATGAATGTTACCGTTCAGTTTGTCTTTCAAATGATTAAAAATGTTACCTGTAGTTTATTGTTCCAAATTATGCCATATCAAAAATAATTTTTTTGAACACCAGGTGTGCTTATTGCACACCAACTGTTCGATGAAAAGCCTAAATCAATAATTTATGGTAAATATTATTGTATGGTATCATATTCTTTAATGAAATACTAATCTGATTACACTAACTTATGTCATTTATCAAGTTTAATTAAGTATTATGGAAGGAGAAAACACATTGATTGAAGATGTGCCTGTATTGGAAATGGAGGAGGAGGACCAAAATGATGGATCTGATCTAGACGATTCAGAACATGAAGACACATCAGATTACACTTCCAGCGATTCCAATAGCAATACAGAGACTACAAAGAAAACAAGGAAGAGGGGATTGACTCGATTGCCAAAGTTACGGACCGAACATACAAATTCTGGTGGAAGAAAAAAACGTGTAAAGTTTGATGAATTTGGAAGGTTTGCAGGGAAGTATAGATCACAGTTACCTAGTTATCTTGGAGACTTAGTACGGGAAAGGGTAGGAGTTAGTGTTTTCAATTGGAAGAAAGTAACAAAAGAAGTCAAGGAAAAACTATGGGAAGAGATAACGGTAAATAATGTTTTTTTATATGCAACTCATATGTTATTGGTATTCTCCGATGCAATTTCATTCATTAACTAACATACTAGCTACTTGTATTCAACGTTTTTATGAAATTGAGGACAGTCGAAGAAAATATATAATGAATCGGCTTGGTATGCTTCTACGGAATTTTAGAAGAAAATTATATGCAAAGTACATAGAGCCCAACTTAGGGAATACCGCCAAGCTTAAAAGAATTCCTAAACGATACCGTACAATAATTCTTAGCCAAGATCACTGGGATAAGTTCGTTGAACACACACAGTCAGACAAATTCTAGGTTAAATTCATTTTTTATATTCATTATCACTTTTATTTTATATTTTATTAAGGTAAAAGATACTTATAAGATATGTGAATTTTTTTTTGAAGGATACGTCAAGAAAGGCGATAGTAGCGTGTTCGAAGTCGAGTTATAATCACCGGATGAGACGCGGAGGATATACGGGTCTAAGAGAGAAACTGGTAAGTTCTATATTTGATTGGATTGTGTATTTTTATATGTGTTTGTTTTTAGGGAAGCTCTGAAAGTATAAAAAATATGTAAAAGAGTTATCAAAGGGTAAAATTGGAATTGAGTAATTAAAAATAAAGGATACATGTGGTTTGTTAGAAATTTGAAGAAGTTTATATAACATTATATATAATGTTTTATACATAAAATTAAACATTTGATTTTAATTTGTGAAGATTCATATAGACTTATATAAACGTAAGTTTCGTTTTGTTTGATACGGGCTTTTATGTTAATCCATTTAAAGTAGACAACAGTTGGAAAAATCTTTTTTTTATAGGCATATCTTTTTTTATAGGCATTTTAGCTGGATATAAATGTCATTATATTTTGTATAAAGTTCATATCATGATAGCTGATATGTTTTATTATTTATACAAATCATTATAAGTAAGATAGTTTACACATAAGAAGTGTAATCAAAATTGTCATGTGCACAATTGTTATGTATCCGGTCTTTTGCAAGCATGTTCAAAACTACCGACACTAACCACCCGGAAAAGATGTCATTTTTTACATCAGGTGGTCCAACAAGGCCAACATTTACCAACAAATTAATGGATCATTTTTTTATAATTTTATTTTCTTTTATTTCCCCGAAAATTATCAAGATTATTCTTGGGAGAGTCCATCCCGCTTGAAATAATGAGGTTGTGAAATCAAAGGTGCTTTTTATTTCACTCATCGTGTATTTATTAAGTATTTGTTACGATAGATCTAGCAAAGTCCATCAATTGCAAATTAATTTTTTATTTAAAATATAGGTTTGCTTATGATAATGCTTGTAGTAAGATTAATAGAATGTATTTTTTTTACTTTATTTGCTTCTTTTGGTTCATGTTGATAGTATTTTTGCATTTTGTTGTATATGATTACTAGGTTAATAATAAAGTACTTGCCAAAGATGAAATACCCCTGGTCATTAATGTGGTGTAAAAGATGTGAAAACAAAGCAGGTGAATTGGAAGATGCTAATGTTAAAGTCATGGCAGAAAAACTAGTAAGTTCATTAAAACTTCCTCCTTTATTGTTTTATTACTATAATAAATATTAGACTTGTTAAATAACTATTGAAGACATTATTTTGATATATTTTTGTGTATAGATGGAACATGAAAAACAAATCAAAGATGGAGATGTGAAGCTTGATCCTGGGATGGATGCCATGACACTAGTCTTTGGCAAGGAAAATGGTGGATTCTTAAAAGGGGTTGGCACAGGAGTGACTGCTAACAGATATTTCCACATTCCTAGAACCAAAGGATCTTCAAAAGAACAAATTACGGACCTAAAGTTTGAACTACAGAATGAGAGACTTGAGCTGCAGAAAAAAGATGAAGAACTTAAGGCGTTGTCAACAAAGGTGAGAGAACAAGATAATACACTAAAGTTAGTTTTAGCTCATTTTGAATCACAAGGAACAATGATACCTAATCTACCATCTCATCCGAATCAGTCTCCAACACAAGTAAGTGTGTTGTTACTGTTTCTGAAAAATGCATTTATTATATGAATTGATCATTTTCCTTAAATTTTGTAGGTATTTTCAGTGGACAAGAACATTGAATCTCATGCCACTCCTGTTACTAATACTATCATAGAGAAAACACCTATCATAAATAAAGCATCGACAAATGAAACAGTTACACGAGTAAGTAATTATTTGACACATTCATTGATTTTAATATTTTTTTGCAGTATTTTCTGATTTTAATATAATATTGAATTACTATTTTCTAGGTAATGGCAAAAGCCACCAAAATAACTGTTGAATCTAAGAGTGCGAATACAAATTCACATCCAAAAAGAAAAGATACTCATTCACCAAAACTATCACAGGTATGTATTTGTATTTTGACATGAAAATATAAATTTCTGTTTATTGTTTTTTTTTTATCTAAATATGTGCAATCATTGTAGACAATGAAGACAATAAAGTGCATTCTACAATATCCAAATAATAGAAGTAATGTTGCTTTTGGTACCGTTTACATATCTTCGGAAAGACAAACCATTTATGGAGTTCCACTTCAGGACGACTGCTATAAAGTTTCAATTGATGAAGTGATAAAGGGAGCTGCATTTTTACCATATCCAAACGGTGATATCAAATTAGTTGAGGATGCACATAAAACTTTTGTTGCATGGCCAAAATACCTTGTCAAATGTGACGAAAAGGTTTATTTCTTCTATTAACTTCTTTATGCATTATTTTTTTCCTTTTTAAATTACTCTTTTAAATTAATAGTTGTTCAAATCTCTTTCAATGTTTTTACAGGTACCACGAATGGGATCAACTCAAGATGATGAACATAAAAGCTCCAAGAAACAAAGAAAAAGTTTAACTCAAGATGATGAACATAAAAGCTCCAAGAAGCAAAACAAAAAATTTATAACCAGAGATAGCATTGGCAAGCATACAAGGAGCACTTTCAACAAGACTAAAGAAATCTAGTTTTTGGTTAATTATGACTCTTTATTCATTTCTTTAACATTTTTAATAAACTTGTTTTGATTACAAGGATTTTTAGCATTTAACTAGTGAAATTATGAACGGAAACTTTTATTTGGATTATTATTAATATTGATATTTTCTTGTCGTTTCATATTGTCCATTTACGGTTATGTTTATTTAACATTGTTTTTTTATTCCATGTGTCTAATAATTTTATCGTCATGTTTTATTTTGTTGTCACTAAAATGTATATAATTGTTACCTCACAACAAATGTGTCGTGTGACTAAAGGACTAACAATAGTCATGATAGAAACTCAATATGCGTCTGCAAATGTTTTACAGTCATTTTTTATTAAACATGTGTGACTAGAAGTAAAACAAATACAATGTTGAAAATTTGTATGTCGGAAAAGATACATATGTCACTTTATTTAATAATCATATGACTAATAGTTTATGTATTGTTATATTTAAACAATACTTGTGAGTCAAAATCTTAAAAAAAAACGACATGATAAGATAAAACTAATGTAACAATGGGGTAAATGTAGTCATGGTAAATGAAATTGTGTGTCGATACAACACTAATGGTTATAATTGCATTGGTTTGCGATATCTAAATTATGAGCAATAGCCACATTGAAAACTATAAGTGTGTTTAAAGGATAAAAAATGTTATGGTTATCAAAATTTTGTGTGACTAAATACTAAACAATAAGGACGATAAACATTAGTTGTGTGTCTACAATGATTTTATAGTCATGTTTTAATTTAATATACGTGACAAAAAACTAAATAATATTATTAATGTAGATAACTATGTGTCAAAATCATAACATCTGTCACTTATTTCTACCTTCATGTGACTGTATGTTCAACTATAGGCACAGTTGTAAAAACATTATATAATTATACGACATTTACAACTATGTTTTAAGTATGTATGTGTGACTACAATAAAAACAATAGTAACAATCTGGAAATTTTTAATGTCTAAATGATAAAATTGGTCACACTTAAAAAAAATTGTTATGTTCATAAGGTGAATATTGGCCACTATTATATATACTTTTGTTTCTATAAATCAATTACAGTTATGTTTAATTGATTTCCTATGTCGAAAAGATATAAAATAGCCACACTTACAACTTTTATGCGTTTGAATGATAGCAATAGTCATGATAAATTATACGTATGTGACTGTAAGTTATAAGATAATCATATTAAAAAATATAGTATGTGTCTTTAAAATATTTTTGGTCATTAAAATCATAAATTCATGTGACTATTTTGGGAACATGGTGATGAGTTTCTTAATTATGTGTGTCTAAAAGATTGTTAATAGTCATACCAAATAATTTTTTGTGTGACAATTTATTAGCAAAACGTAATAGTGATAATAAATTCATGTGGCCATTTGATGAACATGGTCATGCTATGCTTAATTTTGTGTCTCTAAACGATAGTCTGTAGTCATAATGAATTTTTTTTGTGTGACCAATTAATAGCAATACGCCACACTAAAAATAATTTCACGTAAACATTACATGAAAGATAGTCACTAAAATAAAAATAATGTGTGTCTAAAAAATGTTTACGACCACAATATTGGATAAAATGATAGTGTACAACAACAAGAATCTCTACCCTATAGCCACACTTTTATGCTATGGTCACAAGTTTTCATATGTTACAGCCACTAAATTTAAAAGTGGCTGTATGGTGCCTAAAATGGCACGACCTTCGGTGACACTTCCGATGAAAAAAAAAAGTGTGACTATAGGCATATGGTCACAGTTTTTTGGTGTAACCATAGCTCATTTTTGTACTAGTGCATATTAATAGCTATAAGTTGGTGAAAATATAGATAATCATGTATAACAGAGGTGTGAAAAAACGAAACAGAAAAAACGACGTTTGATGCCCGAAAAATCGAAAATAAGATTTATTCGTAGCTAATCCGTAGCTAATTAGCTACAGACTAGCTACGGAATTCTAACGGAAAGCGCATTCCGTAGCTAATTAGCTATGGATTAGCTACGGAATGTGCTTTCCGTTAGAATTTCGTAGCTAGTACGTAGCTAATTAGCTACGGATAATTCTTATTTTTAGTTTTTCGGGCACCAAACGTCGTTTTTTCCGCTTCGTTTTTTTCACACCTCTATTATATATGATTATCTCTATTTTCACCAACTTTTAGCTATTAATATCATTCATAAAGTCTTGCGTACCTTCGGGATCAAGTACTTGTTTAATGGTTTAACAATATAATGACTATATTTTTCACCAACTTGTGATGGATTTATGTTTGTATACATGAATGAGTTGTGGTATATATGTATGTGTATATGTGTATGTATACGTTTTTGTGAAAATAGAGATAATCGTGTATAATAGAGGTGTAAAAAAATGAAGCGGAAAAAACGACTTTTGGTGCCCGAAAAATCGAAAATAAAATGATCCGTAGCTAATTAGCTACGGAATTATAACGGAAACCACATTTCGTAGCTAATCCGTAGCTAATTAGCTACGGATTAGCTACTGAATGTGTTTTCCGTTAGAATTCCGTAGCTAGTCCGTAGCTAATTAGCTACGGATTATACTTATTTTCGATTTTCCGGGCACCAAACATCATTTTTCCGCTTCGTTTTTCTCACACCTCTATTATAAATGATTATCTCTATTTTCACCAACTTATAGCTATTAATATCATTCATAAAGTCGTTTGCACCTCGGGATCAAGTACTCGTTGCACAATTTAACAATATAATAACTATGTTTTTCACCAAGTTGTGATTGGTTTATGTTTGTATACATCAATAATTTGTGGTATATATGTATGTGTATATGTCTATGTATACGTGTTTGTGAGTATTTATATGTGAACGTAGATGATAAGCATTATAGTTTTAAACCATTAAACGAGTAATGGATCCCATTTGTGCACTCGACTTTTGGTGCCTGAAATAATAATAATAATAATAATAATAATAATAATAATAATAATAATAATAATAATAATAATAACAACAACAATAATAATAATAATAATCATAATCATAGAAATAATAATAATAATAATAGAAATAATAATAATAATAATAATAATAATAGAAATAATAAAAATAATAATAATAATAATAATAATAATAATAATAATAATAATAATAGAAATAATAATAATAATAATAATAATAATAATAATAATAATAATAATAAGATGTTTAAATAGAATAGTCAACCATGTTGGCATGGATGTGGCATGTCCGGCCGGTTGTTAAGTTTGTGTTATTGTATGTAGGCAACCCGAGTTCGAATCCCACCCATGTTTTTTTTGCAGGCCGTAGCTAATGCGTAGCTAAACCGTCGCTAAAACCGGTCCGTAGGTAATCCGTAGCAGATTCCGAAGCTGGGCCGTAGCAAATTGATAGCTATTTTTTTTAATTAAAATCCATTTTATTTCATTTTCCCACTGAATACCCCACGACTTTTACTCCCCCTCCCCCTTTCAGCGAACAGATACAGCGAACAGATACAGAAAGAAAAGAAAAAATTGAAGACTTCTCCCGTCTCGTTCGCCGACGATCGCCGGCAAGTCCTTCCCGTTCCTCGAGCGCTGCCGTCGCCGACCGTCTTCTCCGGCGCACCTTCCCTTCTCTCTCTCGGCCTTTTGCTCGATTCTTCCTAAAAAGGTAAAACCCTAGTTTCTTTATTTTTTTTTTCTTTTTTTTTTAAATTACTTCATGTATACAATTTAGATGCTTTATTCATTGATAATGTTAATATGTTTTGTTGAATGTGATGCCGAATTTAAGGATTTACATTTAATTTGGTTGAATATTTGGTTAATTTCATAGCTTGGTTGAATATTTGGTTAATTTCAATTTGTTAAAAATGTTAATTTTGTTGAAATGTGATATATAAAAAATGTTGTGAACTTTAATTTGTTAAAAATGTTAATTTTGTTGAAATGTTAGGCTAATTTTATAAATTTGTTAAAAATATTAGATTAAATGGGATGTTATATATGTATCATTCGTTATATATGTGTATTATGTTAATAATTTTTTATGGGCTTTTTATGTATCATTAGTTATATATATATTAGATTAAATGAGATGTTACACTATTACTTCATGTTTAGTTTAGAGTTTTAACATTTTTTATATCTAAATGTAGTTTTAGATCGAAATGTTGTCTAATAGAGAATAGATGTACACAAAGAGACTCGATAATTGTCGTTTGTTTAATCCACAATGGCCACATTATGTTAATTTGTTTTTGGATTTTGCTTATGCGAACGCAACAAACATCCAACATATCATTAGGGAAGGGGTGGAAGTTTTTGAAATTAGATGTCCGTGTGCGAAATGCAAAAATATTTATTACCTTCCGAGAGAATTAGTTTTTAGCCATCTTGTTAACCGAGGCTTCATGAATGGTTATACACAATGGTATTTTCATGAATGGTTATACACAATGGTATTTACATGGAGAAAAATATCCAACACTAGAGATAGGTCAATGTTCAAACCCAATTTCACCTCAACACGTGGGTCCAAGTTCGAATATTGAAACAGTTCAACACATTAATAATGATTTTAGTGATTATCATAGATACGAGGAGATGGTTATCGATAGCATGCACCAACATGAGGCTTCGTATTATCAACAAACACCACAACACCCAAATCTTGAAGCCCAAAATTTTTATAAAGTTTTGAAACAAGAGAGTGAGCCTTTATGGGACAGGTGTACAACAACTTACACACTCTCTGCCACCACTAGATTATTGGATTGGAAATACTAATCTAATGTTTCAGACCTGTCATTTGATACACTTCTTTCGATTGTTAAAGGCGTTCTACCAACTGGCGAGAAGCTTCCTAATAGCTTCTACGAGACCAAGAAAATGTTGAAGCCACTAAAATTGCCTTCTGAACGGATTCATGTATGTATAAACCATTGCATGCTATTCAGGGGCCAGTTTGCTAATTTGGATCATTGTGCAGTATGTGGAGAAAATAGATACCATGCCAAAGGGAGAAAGGTTTCTAATTTGGTCATGACTTACATGCCGATTGGACCGAGACTCCAAAGGCTCTTCTAATCAAGGAAGACGGCCAAACATTTAACTTGGCATGCAGATCATTTAGTAGATCCAGAAAAGATGATACATCCCAGTGAAGGTGAAGCATGGAATCATTTTGATAGAAAATTTCTTGATTTTGCAAATGAGAAGCGCAACATACGTCTCGGGTTGTATACTGATGGGTTTAGTCCTAATAATTCAAACACGACTCCCTATTCGTGTTGGCCAGTGTTTCTCACTGTTTACAACCTACCCCCTTGGTTGGCTTTTAAACATCAATACATACAACTTCCATTGATTATTCCTGGGAAGAAGAGTCCCGGACAGAATTTCGATGTTTTTTTACAACCTTTGGTGGACGAGTTGAAGATGTTGTTCACAGATGGCATTGAAACTTATGACGCTCATCGAAAGACCAATTTTCAGATGAAGGTTGTACTTCTATGGGCAGTTAGTGACTTCCCTACTTATGCAATGTTGTCCGGATGGAGCACTCATGGTAATTTAGCCTGTCCATATTGCATGCACCAAACAGAATCATTTCGACTTTCCAACGGACAAAAACCGTGTTGGTTTGACTGTCATAGAAAACATCTACCCGAAAGACACGTATTCCGAAATGATACAGTTAATTTCTTAAAAGGCAAGAAAGTGAGGGGTCATGAAGTGCCTGTTCCATACCCAATCGGAGAATATATTTGGGAGAAAATCCAACATTTTCCCAAAGTATACAACGGTACTCCCTATGGTCCAAATTATATAAAACCAAAAGGTTTTGGTATTACACATAAATGGGTAAAGAAGAGCATCTTTTGGGAGCTTCCATATTTCGATGCATGTTGAAAAGAATATTTTTGAAAATATGTTTCATATTTCGATGGGTACCCCAAAGTCCAAAGACAATATGAAGGCAAGAGAGGATATTGAGATGCTATGCGACCAACCTATACTAAACCCCATTAGGGAAAACAATAGGAAGCCTAGGAAGAACCCTGGAAAGTACACATTGACAAAGGAACAAGTTAAAAAAGTATGTGATTGGTTGAAAGAACTAAAATTTCCTGACGGATATGCATCAAATATAGGTAATTGTGTAAACACCAAAGATTACAGTTTTTATGGTTTCAAAAGCCATGACTGTCATGTGTTTATGCAACGGTTGCTTCCCCTAGCTATAAGAGGTTTTGTTCCAACAAAGATATATGAGGCCGTATCAGAGATATCCATGTACTTTCGAGTATTGTGCTCGAAAACGTTGCATCGTCAGGACTTGTTCGATATGAAACGTTGTATTGTTCAGACCATGTGAAAGTTGTAGCAAATATACCCTCCTAGCTTCTTTGATTCCATGGAACACCTGGTTATACATTTAGCTGATGAAGCTATTGTTGGTGGTCCGGTACATTACAGATGGATGTAACAATACGAGAGGTAATATCCCTGTTTTAATATTATATATAGTATTTTTAAAGTTATTTATGGTATTCCTAACACATCGTCCATACATTATAATATAGGAAACTGGGCATAATTAAAAGAAGAATCAGGAACAAAGCACGAGTTGAGGGTTCAATAGTCAATGAACATCTAGTGAATGAACTCGCTACCTATTGTTCGTTATATTTTGACCCGATGATTGAGACATGCCATAATCGAGAAGCATAGAATTTTGCACCACAAAGTCACAGGTTTTCGAGTGGTGGAGCTCCACTTAGCATCTTTGTCATCCCATCAAGAAGATTATATGAAAAAAGTGGAAAACGAAAACCCTTCCTTCACAAAGCGCACACTTACATATTACTTAATTGTAAAGAAGTTAACCCTTACATCATCGAGTTTGATGAAATGGTCATAAGAGCGAATCCAAATGAATCAGTTTCTGATTTAAGAGATAAATACTTTGCTGAATGGTTTGAGGACAGAGTAAGTAGAACCAGTTCAATCGTATTGATTATTATTAATGCATCGTTAACCAACACAATGTGTGTATGTTTTCAATGTAGATAATGTATAAGACACCTGATGGAAGTGCTAGACACTTAGAAGTTATAGCTACGAAACCATCGAGACATGCTTATTTTCATAATGGGTATTTTGTAAATGGTTATAAGTTCCACACTCAACAATACGGCGAGGGTCGTGCGACAAATAACTTTGGAGTATGGTTAGAGGGGAGACGTATAATGTCGAACAAGAGTCAGACTACTGCGACATATTGCAAGAGATCTTAGAGATTGAGTATTATAGCAGCGGACCGTCGACTGTTGTACTGTTTAATTGTATTTGGTTTGATAACAAAGACGGTGTAATAGTCAACAAAACAACTTGGTTGATGTCAAACCCAAATCTCGATTTCAAACTGACGATCCTTTTTGTTTGGCATCACAAGCTGAACAAGTATTTTATACACCATACCCTTCAATGATAAATGAGACGAAAGATAAGTGGGCGGTTATCAAAACAAAACCAAGAGTGGTATTTAAAGTCACCGAAGCTGAAATGGAAGCAGATGAAGTCTTTCAGGTTGAAGAACGGTTTGAGTCACCCCTTACTGTAACTCGTGTGGAACCACTGTGCCTAGCCTCAACTATAAATACATACGAGCAAATATATGATGAAGAGAATGATAGAATGGAGGAGGAAGTCAAAGAAGTGGAAGATTTTGAAGACGGAGGTGATGAAAACAAGTTTTATTATTCAGAAGAAGAATTTGAAGACGAAGATGATGGGGACGAATGTTAGGAGCATTGTCTTTTGTTGATGTTAGGAGCATTGTATTTTGTTGATGTTAGGAGCATTGTCATTTTGAAGATTGTTGTACTGTTTAAACGTTGTTTTGTTAATGATTTTGATTTGGATATCCAGTTGTTTTAAACATTTGTTTTGTCATGACTTATCAATCTTATATTATATATCTGACCATTCTTGTTCTATTAAATGCAACATGTTAGGTAATTGACGCAAGGTTAAAGGCCACAGTACCAACACTTCTTCTAGCAGTGTGGGACATAGGAGGGGGGAGGGTTATCCCCTAATTCTACCGACGGGCCACGTTATAGGACATCACTCATACCAATTGATATGCCGATAGTGATAGGAGTCACAGGCTCCAACAGTCAGGGTGCCATCAATGAACAAACCGACATGGCTGATCCTTTAGCAGATTTGGCTGGGATTCTTCGCCATCAGGCTCGAGGTCTGGGTCATATGTCCCAAATCATACAGACAGATTATAGGCCCCAGCTCCAACATATGTTTTATAGGCCCCAATCCCCACAAATGGGTTATACACCTCAGTTTCAAAATACATTGCCGACCCCACAAACAGTTTTGAGGCCGGGTGGTCGTGATGGATTTGAGCAGTACTATTTTGAGGGTGCAGATGCACAGACAACCTTTCGGTTGCCACATACCCCGCACACGCCACGGCCACCGAACACGCCACCGACGCCGCATGGCTCCACCTCTAGAGGTGTTACGGGCGGTCACGACTCGAATGCGAGTGATTTTCAGGAGTCTTCGTTGCCCCTCATCATCCGAAAAGGGAAAAAGTTAGTGTTTTCATATTTTAAAACTTTAATTTTTGATGTTAAAATTCTACTTATATAGTTCTTTTCAATGTAGGTTTGGGTCTAGGAAAATCCACAGCACGTGTATTAGTCTCTATTGGGAGAATATGGATCATCCGTGGCCCCGATTTAGTGATATTCCCAATGAGGCCCTTTTGCAGATGTTTTCGTGTTTCAAGGCAATATATTAAATATAAATTATTGTATCTTATACTCATTTGTTTTTACTTTGTATTTTTAAATTTACTTTTTATTTTTTTACAGACCATGTACAGGTGGAATTCACTAGAGAATAGTAACATATTTGAAGCCTTCAAGTGTGTCCTCAAGGATAGATACAGGGATCGGATGAAGCGTATCAGGATTAAATATGGGGAAATGGCACGAAATGATGGGAAACCCGTCCCCCTAGGTCATTGTACCTACTACGAAGGGATGCATGACTACCGCACTGGGCGCGTACCGGAGAATGCGTGGCGATGTTTATGTGATGTAATGGATATGATACTTTATTATCTATGTTGTTGAATTTTAATCTCCTATTGTATTAGTATCCTTATATTTTTTTTCTTTTCACAGCATTGGTCGACAGATAAGTGGAGAAAGAATTCAAAAATTGCTTAGCAGAACCGCAAAGTCGCAGATGCCAATGGGTCGACAGCTAGGCACACCGCGGGTAGTATAGGATTTGACGAGCACCATAACAACTTAGTAAGTATCATAATTATAAATTTTATTATTTAACACTAACTACATCAACTATACTTTGTATTTTATGTAGGAAAAGATGATGGGTAAACCACCCACACAATTTGATGTTTTCATGAAGACGCATGGCACAGCTGAGGCGAAAAAAAGATATTTTGCGGGAGATCATGAAAATCTCGAATATTGCTCACTAACTGCCAAAGAAGCACAAGTAAGTTATCTTTTATCATTTATGTATATTGATTGTCTTAGTATTTTTGTACATGACAATGATACTGTTTTGGTAATTTGTAGGAGATGTATCTACAGGAGCTGGTAAAAAAACACGGAGAAGACTCTTCAAACCATAAAGATGATGCGAGGGTATGGGAGGAAATTCAACTTAGGAGAAAAGGAAAGAAGAAGGGTGATATCTATGGCATATGAGCATCAGATATACATTTTGTGATTACTGGGACACCGTCTTCCCAATCCACCCAATCCACCCTATCAGATAGTACACAACAAGAGGTATGTTGTTATGGTTTAAACGTTAATTAGTATGTTGATAATATTGATAATATAAACTAAAGTGCATTGCTAATATTGTTTAACTATTGCATTGTGTTGCCATTTTTTTTAGGTTGATAGGTTGCGTGCACAAGTTTCTACCATGGAACAACAACAACAACAACAAACGAAAGAACAAATGGAAATGGTTATGAGGATGATGAACATGTCTGGAAATCAACCCCGTGCTCCCCCAAATAATCCACCTGAGGACAATTGATAAGTATTTTGGAACAATTTAGTTTGTAAACATTTGATATTGTTTGTTTTGTTAAGTAGTGCTTACTTTTGTAAGATATTTTGGATAGTGGATTGGAATGTGTCAAACTTGGTATTACGGACGTTTTTTTGGTGTATTTTATATGGTATTTGGGACAAATGTGAATTGAATATGGTATTTGACAAAAAATTGGAAAATTTTTAATTATTTTTTTTATAAATAAAACGAAGTTAGCTACGGATTTCCGTAGCTATTTACTTTCGTAGCTATTCCGTAGATGTTTTGTTTGGTAGCTATTCCGTAGCTATTTGGTTCCGTAGCTATTTGGATCCGTAGCTATTCCGTAGCTATTCCGTAACTATCTAGTGCCGTAAGTATTCCGTAGGAAATCCGTAGCTATTTCGTAGTTATAGTAGCTACGGAATATTCCGTAGCGATTCTGTAGCTAATCCGTAGCTATAATTTAGCCACGGACCATTATGCTACAACCAATTTTCCGTAGCAATTCCATAGCTATCCGCTTATAGTTACGGATTGTGCTGTAGCTATTGCACCAATTTTCTAGTAGTGTTTTGGGTTAAAAATATAACTATTTTATTAATTTGAGTTAAGATTAGAAGTCATTTTAGGTGTTAAAAGTAAAAGTACATTACTGGTTTTGACTAAATAAATATATTTTAATTTTTTAAGCTTAAAAGAAAACCGTGTTATTTTGTGCTAAAGTGACAATCCTAGAGATTCCTGAAAATGGATCCCATATGGTTAAAGTAAGAGATTTATGAAAAATCTAAACTGACCATGATTAAATCACAATATTTAAGAGTAATTATACTTTCGAAATAAATTTTAATCTTTTAAGCTTAAAAGAAAACCGTGTTATTTTATGCTAAAGTGACAATCCTAGAGATTCCTGAAAATGGATCCCATATGGTTAATGTAAGAGATTTATGAAAAAAAACTAAACTGACCATGATTAAATCACAATATTTAAGAGTAATTATACTTTCGAAGAGCAAGTCCTTCATAGTGTAGATAGAACAAAATCGTAGGATTTTCCCATCCTAGAGTCCAGATTATTCTTGACGGATCCATTCGTGAACGACTTTAAAATATGGTTGATTTACTATAGTGCACACTTATGGATACAAATTATTAGATTTGGAAGTTATAAAAAGAAGAAAAAAGAATTACATTTTCAAGTTGTATCTACCGTCGAAGTGCCTTGTTATCTTCGATGCATCTTTATTACCCTTTGTCAATTTATAGAGTTAAATGCAAGAACTAAGTACATAATTTTTATTACACTATTATACTCCAAACGATCTACACGGTTATAGTAAGTCATCATTTTAAAAAGCATTTTTTACTGTTATAGACCGGAAAAAAATTGAAGGTCCTAATAAGAAGGAAACTAAAAGTACAATGCTATTAGGTAAAAATTTTAAATACAATGAACTATAAACCTAGTTTAGCAATGTTCACTTAATTTTACTAATAATAGCAACCTAATTATACTTTTGATGGATAATAACAATGTCTTACCCACAATACCAACCTATTTACATTTCTTTATACATTATAGTAACATAATCCTATTATCACAGCAAAAAATTTTCATTTTTATTAAGGTAAAACTTCGTAATTATAAATCCATTAAAAAAAACCATGTATTCTAAATTACATCTGTCGAAAATTAGAATAATATAATAAACGTGGAATCCTCACTGTTGTTAATAATTGTGTATAGTCACGTATTCGTCTTCTCGTGATCACTGATATAACCTGTAAATATAATCAACTAACACAAAACTTAATGAGTTTCCTAGAAATATTGCATACAACCGAACATATACAAGCATATATACTGTGTTAACAGTCATCGAACTGGATTACCCTGGGTATGTTTGCCTGTCGCCTGAACCCAACTGCTCTTCCTGAGCCTTCGTGACTACGGCTTACAGCCGACCCTGACCTAGTCTCTTAGCCTACAGCACAAAACAGGACAACCTCAACCGCCATAATATGTCGACAAAAACAAGATATCAAGTAGGCACATAAATACAAGCAACTACCAATTATACATCTCACTACCACTTACTAGACCCTTCACAACACAATTTTCCATTACCGACAAGTATCCATGGAATGCATGGCCATAAGGAACCAGATGTGATTTAGCTACCCAAACAAATAATTCTACTCTAAAGCCACAACTAATCAAGGGACATACAAGAGAGCCTAGTTCAAGAGTTTTCTGGCTATCCAACATGGCTACATACAATCCCTAGGGCATTACACTAGACGATCTCCATCCTAACACACAAGTATATATATATATATATATATATATATATATATATATATATATATATATATATATATATATATATATATATATATATATAGGGTTAGGTTTATGTGAGACAGCCTAATTTTATGAGACCGTGAGACGCATTTTTTTTAATTTTTAATTTTTTTTTTAAATTTTTTTTAGTTAATTCAAGTTCCGAAAATAATATTTAAAAAAAGAATTTTTGGATTTTTCTATTTATTTTGCATTTTAAAATTATTTTTTACAATATGTACAGTGTAATATTCTATTAGAATATTTCACGTATTTTTAAAAAAAAAAAAAGGGATTATTTTTTTTATTTTTATTTTTATTTATTTTTATTTTTTTTTTAGTTAATTCAAGTTCCGAAAATAATAATTTTTTAAAGATTTTTCCATTTATTTTGCATTTTAAAATTATTTTTTAGAATATGTCAGTGTGACCCAAAGTCAAACTGATCAAAAAGTCAACGGTCAATAAAAGTCAATGGTTAACAGCCCATCGCGACGTGACACTCCATTAGCCATGTTGTGAGCCACTTAAAGACAAAATACTCGTGCTCCTTTGATCCTCACGAAGTGACAGGCATGGGATCACATCGTGAGAATTGTCTAAATAACATTTCGATGAATAAAAGCCCTTAATCCATTAAGCCACTAATCCACCTCCTCCAAAATGTTTGCTAACATCCCAAAAACATAAATTTTGATGTTTTATGATCTTCAATGTCCAATGTAAGGCTTGAGCTCAAATTAGGGCATTTATGAAGAAAAGGAGGTTACAACCTTATGCATGAGCTCAAACATCACCCAAACTTCAGATCCACGAAATATGATCACCAAGGGACTCTAAGGACCCATAAAGTTGCTAACTTTATGGAGTCTCAACACTCTAATTTATCTAAACATGAATAATCATGCATAAAACCATAGATCTAGCAACAAGGAATCATAAATCTAGAATCTTGGATACTCATAAAGGTCTAGAGATGTTGCTAGAAGATGTAAATTAAGCCTCGATACTAGATCTGTGTCCAAAGTTGATCCCGTGTTCTTCAAGCCACCAAAACACCAACAAAAGTTCAAGGATCACAATAAGAGGCTAGGTTTATGGTTTTTCTATGCTTGAGGACAAATGTGGCTGCTAATGCCTAAAACTGACTTAGAGGTGCTTAAATAGGAAGTAAACCCTAAAAGATCATGGACTTGGGTTGCATCTGTTCCCACGTTATGAGCCCTGATGTCTCACATCGTGAGCTCAGTTGAATAAACATTTTCATTTATTCACTTCTCACCTCGTGACCTATCTGTGGTCACGTCGTTACACCAAATTTGATCTAAAACCATAACTTTCACTCCTTGATGCCCTAAAATGATCCATTCTGGAAACTGGATGTTACAATTATCCCCCACTTAAATTAGATTTCGTCCTCGAAATTATTTCACACTTCTACTCTACAAGTAACCCCTTGTGCATCCTTCAAACCTGACTCCTCCAACACATACTGAGATCACTTGAATGCTAGCACTTGCAATCGTTGACATCCAAGTTTCCAAAACCAGGCTCATAAGCCAGTTCGAGCAGAGACTCTGGTGGTCTGAAACATAACTACTACAGTACCTTCTTGAACAGTTGATTACCTCCCATTACTTTTTTAGACTTTAATGAGAAAATAGAGAACCGGCGAAAAACAATTCCACACAACACCCTTAATCCATAATAGAATAACTCACCTCTCATTCTACGACCTGCAGACCTTAAAGTCATATCCGCCCTTCAGGTAGACAGAGCCACCCCAACTGTGACCTAT